AGCGCGTCTCAATAATTACAGAGTGAATGTAGTTTTGGGTTGCAGCTCTCGTAGCAGGCAGGTTTCAGGCCATCCTTTTCCGTCGAGTAGCGTGCAATTCGCCCGTGGGAGTAGCCTGTAGCAGAGCAGTCTCCCAAAAACCATCGGGATGACCCCTTAATGCCAACAGCAGCAACGATCGTCGATCTTCAGTATTATCCACCCGATTGACCTGAGATGGCGGGCGGGAATGAGATCATATATCGGGGCCACAAATATTAGACCTGACGAGTTGTTGAATTTCAACAACATAATTTCAACTGGGCCTCTTCAGAACAACTTCCGTCGACCTGTTTTCGGCCGACTAGCCCGCTGGCGCTGTGGACTTATTGTGGAGCTTTGCCGCTTCGCTTATGGGAAGCTTTACGTGTCACTTGGAGTCCGTTCCTCTACGTCTTCTGGTTGTATGCAGCAGCTGCGGACCTGAGAATTTCTCTGGTGGACGCGGCATAAGCTAATGCGGGTTACGCAAATACTTGTTCTTAGAACGAATGGGCAAATCTCTTGCAATCTTCGAACAACGGAGCCCAGCCAGCTTGTCACTTTGTCCGCCCTTGCCGGGTCGGTCAACTGGGTGCTGGCGGGGAACCGTCAACCAGGTCACCGCGGGGGACCTCGTGGGCGGCCGTGCACATAACAGTGCTGTCAATGCGGACAGTAAGCTCCCTGGAATATCCGCTTGAGCACTAGAGGACATCAGTTTTTGAGGCTATGCTGGGAAGTCAGTTGCGCAACTTTTTTGGAGTGCAGCAGCTACAGACCTGATTCCACGCGAACGGGGCAGAAATCACTCCAGTTGCAGAGGAGCTGCATTCACACGAATCGCCAAATTCCGGAGTTTCTTCTAGACAATCTTGAAGTTCTTCAAGAACTTTGATTGTTGATGTCGTTCCCTGGAAGTGAGTCGTAGGGAATATTGCAGCTACAGCGCTGAGACTTGCACCAGCAAGCGCAGGGTGATCCAATGTTGAGTAGAAAAATCACAGAAACCGCAGAACTCAATTTTTTATACCAACTTGAAGGCGGTGCCCCCCACGTCTTTTGATAGTAGTACTGCAAAGACGGACCTGGGAATTTCACAGGCAGACGCGGCCTAATTTACTGCGCGTGGGAAAAATAGGGGTTTTCAAAACGACTTGTCAAATCTCTGATTTTTTTGTTATATATATATATATATTATAAAAAATAACCTGCCCCAGGTCATTGCATTGTCCGCCCTGGCTGGGTCGGTCAACTAGCTCCAACCCGCGCCGGAATTCCTCTCGCTCATCGCGCCGCAGAGCTCTACGAGGTACTAGCTCCACCCCGCGCCGGAATTCCTCTAGCTCATCGCACCGAAGAGCTCTAGCTCCACCCCGCGCCGGAATTCCTCTAGCTCATCATGCACTGGATGCCGGCCGTAACCGTCAACCAGGTTACCGCCGGGGACCCTCGTGCACACATGGCAGTGCTTTCAATGCGGGTAGTCAGCTCCCTTGAATATCGGTTCGAAAACAACACAATTCCGCAGAACCTACTTTTTCATACTAACTTAAAGTCGTATCCCCCACATCCATAGATAGTCATCCAGGAGCTACGGATCTGAGAATTTCACTGGTGGACGCGTCGGTTTTCTTAACTTAATTCGAGGTGTGGATGAGCTACAAAGCTGCTCGGCACAGCAATTGGAAGGAACAAATCAGGGGCGCTACAATATTGGTTCTCGGCGAATTTTCAAATCTCTCACAATCTCCAGGGAAAACCGACCCAGGTCATCACATTGTCCGCCCTGGCCGGGTCGGTCAAATAGCTCCACCCCGCGCCGGATTTCCTTTAGCTCATCGTACCGAAGAGTTCTACGAGGTGCCGAAGAGCTCTACGAGGTAAAGACGTGTGTAAACCAAAGCCCACTTGTGTAGTCGAAAACTGAGTGCCCTGTAAAACGTCAACAAGGTTACTGCCGGGGGCCGTATAGAGTTCCGTACAAACATAACAAGTGGATCGGAAGCTCCCTGGAATATCAGCTTGCGAAGTATAGTAGATATTTTTGGTTGGTTCTAACGGAAATTCAGCTGCGAATTTGACAGAGTTTCTATAGCATTTTCAATTTATTTTAAGAATTTCTATTTTCCAGATCGGCCCCTGGAAGGGAGTCGACAGAAATATTGCAACTGCGGTCCTGGGACTTTCGCCAGCAAATGCAGCGTGATCAAGTGTTCAGTAGCAAATTTTTTGAGTCGAAACGAATAGTGGGGTCTCTCAAAATCTCGCATCAACTGGAGAACTCGATTTTCAATACAAACTGGGAGCCGGCGGTAAACCGTCAATTTTGGTTACCGCGGGGGACTCGTAGAGCTTCCTTGCCATATATACGAATGGCATGCGCGCGCACAAACCTCGCGCACAATCTTCAGAAGACTGACATCCATCTGAAAAAACACGTCCTGAGGTGCACTATTTGTGAAAGTTGCTCCTCTGTAGCCTGATCTCGCTTGTCTGCTGCCTCCAGATCAATGCGTCTCATCATTCCATCTCGATTGATCAGTACCTTGGGCAACCGCGACAGCGCAAACGATATGCAGAACATTACGTCATTTGAAACGCGCTTCTTTGATTAATTCTGCCTCTGTAGCCTGACCTCGACTCTCTGGTGCTTCCACATCAATGCATCTGATCATTCCATATCAATTGATCCACCAATTACTTTCGGCAACTGCCTGCAGTGCACGCAATCTCCAGAAAACGGACTTGCATCAGAAATAAAGCCATGCGAACTATCATCTCGGAGAAATTCTATGCATGTGTAGTCGGTTATGGGCGCCCAGGTCAGAGTCTCGTGGACACGTAGGGAGCTCCACCGAAGGCCCCAGTGGCGATGTCTCATGCGTTCCCCCCGCCCGCTACAACGTTTCGTGGCCCCATAAAAAGCTCCGCCGACCGCGTCGGTGGCGGTGTTCGCGCGCGAGTCTCCCGTCCAGCACAACGCTGCGTTGCCCCATAGGGAGCTGCACCGAAGGCTCCAGTGGCGGTTATCGCATTCGTTTCGCCCATCCACTACATCGTTTCGTGGCCCCATAACGAGCTCCACCGAAGGCGCCAGTGGTGGTGTCCAAATGCGTTTTGCACAACGTGTCGTAGCCCTGTAAGGGCCCCAGCAAAAGCCCCGGTGGCGGTGTTCGCATGCGTTTCCCCCCCGCCCAGAACAACGTTTCGCGGCTCCATGGGGGGCCCCGCCGAAGGCTTCGGTGGCTGTGTTCGCACGCGGGTCTCCCGTCCAGTAGTCGATTCGTGGCCCCATAGGGAGCTCCGCCGGGGGCCCCATTGGCGGTTTTCGCATGCGCCTCCCCCATCCAGCAAAGCGTTTCTTAGCCCCATAGGGAGCTCCACCGAAGGCACCACTGGCGGTGTTCGCATGCGTTCGCCCCACCGAGTACAGCGTTTCGTGGCCCCACAAGAAGCCCCACCGAAGGCTTCAGTGGCGGTGTTCGTATGCGATTTCCCCACCCAATGGTGTGCTTCGTGGCCCCAGCCCCAATTGCGGTGCTCGCATGCGTCTCCCCCACTCAATCCAGAGTTTCGTGGCCTTTCGGCGCTCCACCGAAGGCCCCAGTGGCGACGTTCGCCTGGCGGCCATGCTCCATTTCGGCACACCTCTCACACGTTTCGTGGCGCATTTAGTGCGCTACCGAGGGCCCCAGTGGCTGCGCATGCATGCGTCCCCGCCCCACGTCGGCGCACCTTTTGCACGCTTCGTGAGCCCATAAAGAGATCCACCGAAGGCGATACCCACAACGGCGACACTCATAACTGATTATGGTTGGGCCCTTCGCCAGGACCATTTTTTTTGAATTTGCATTGTATTACCCTTTCCTGGTCTCTGTGTATTGCTCGGGCTCTCCGCGTTGGCAGCGCGTGTAGAGCACTTTCCGCGGGGCGCCCGCGAGAGGCTTCCGCGGAAAGTGTTCGCAGCAAGAGGATTTCCAGAAAGTAAGATTCTTGCGGAAGCCTGACCTCGAGCCAGCGGCGCGTTCAGCGCGCCTGTCCGATGCGCTTGTCTTGCCGCGTGCGTCAGAAACTCGCGAAACGCTTCGGCAGCACTTCGTGAACGCATTCGGAGCGGTTTGCTTTCGCAGTGTCTCGCAGGCGCTTTCGAGGCACGTATCGAGCGCTTCCGCGCGATTGCGTAGTCCCGTCTGCGCTACCGGGCGTAAGACTGCGCAGGCGGACCGCGGGGGTGGTGAAGAAACTGCGTGGTCGATCGGCGAGTGTCCACCACCAAGACGACGACCAGCGACGTTCTCAGCGCTCAGGCCTCGACCGACGAGAATTCAGGTATTAAGAGTGCGATTGACGAGGGTTCAGCTCTCAGAGCACGACCAGCCCGAGTTTAGCCCTACGTGGGAGTGCCAAGACGCCCAGCAGGGTCAGCCACAGCTCCAGAGCCCAGCGGTAATGCGCACACGCACGTATACACTGGAGGCCCATGCCAAGAAACACCCTGCTTGCCTCCAGGGTGCCCTGGGTTCCTTGGGTTTCGATGGTTTTGCTATTGAAAGCGTGACGTTCCCACACCAAACATCAATGGACGTCCTGGGGTCTCAGGGTTGGGTTTCTCGTGGAAGGTTTCTTGTGTTCGGGCTCCTACTGCATGTGTGCACATGCACACCTAATCAAGGTGCGCAGGCCTGCAGGGAGCTTCTGTGTATCACTTGTTGTAGTCGAGTTGCCGTCTTCTCACATGCCTTTCATGTCGTTTCGTCTAGCCTACAGGAGCATATCATTTTGAGATGTGCTCTCGCATTCTGCCCCGGACCTGCCGTGCTTGGTTGCCCCAGTTTTCCTGCCTGCGACGCGCCTTTCCGTCGCGTCGCAAACGAGAAAGTGGCATACTGCGATGATGAACATGATGTGGTGCTGTTCGTGCGCCCCTCTCTCGACCGAACCACTTTTCCATTCGTCCTTGAGAACCAAGTGCGCTTTCCAGAGCTGTGGCTCAAGCCATTTTGGCCAAGGTCTGCCAGGGGACGCAGGCCTTCAGGTGGGAGGCGCAATGCCCTGTGATCCGTCTGCGTCTGCTTCGCTTGCTCTACGCATTGATGATCTTTCTGTTTGATTGCAATGTGTCAAGGTCGCCCGGACAACACGTCATGGCCGGCTCGTCGGTTGACCGTTGAGTGAGCTAAGAAATTCTGTTGCCCATTTGAAACATGATGAGGTTTGCTGGGGTGGCCGAGTCTTGTCCACCACATGTCTGTCTATCATGCGAGATGCGCAACAAAGTAATTCACCATCAACCCTGACAGGGATGCTGTTTGGCAGGGCGAACGTAGGACCTGAGTTTGTGACTGAGTTTTGGTGCATGTATTTGTGCATGTACCCCCTTGGCGAGTAGCACTGACGCTAGACAATGCCTCTTTTGGGACAGAACACGGTGGGCAGAAGAAGAATAAGAACAATCAGCATGCGCCGTCGCATCGCCACATCGGCGTCTCACGTCGACGTCGGCGTAGCTTACTGTCCATATCGAATGAAATTTGGCCTCTGGCGCAGTGGAGGTCTTCTCTCTGGGCGAGAGCTTCTGGCCCCGGCTTGTGCGAGCAGATCCTTCGTTACCAGTGGTTGGCCCCTCGACGGACGCTGGCCCCGGCCCTGAGGCGCACATGGGAGTCCCGAGGGCTGGCGAAGAGGAACTTTTCGACTTCGTGTGGAGCAGCATAGAGAAGGAGCTGCGGGATAGCGCGCACACATCTCTGGGTCTTTCGTCATCCTTCTCGCTTGCTGCCGTTTTTTCCGTGCATCGTTTTTTCTATTGTGCTCTGTTGCTGTCCAGTTCTGCTGCTCTCTTCATGTCACATTCCTACTTTACTACATGCTTTTTGTTTGATTATCGTTTTTAGCCTGTTGATGTCTCTTCATAGATGGTAGGTCGCGGAAACTTTTGCTCGTCTTGCATTGAATCGATTGTGGCCAATAGCGCCCAATACTGCTCAATAATGCGGACGACGCGTCCAATAGCGCCCAGTAGCGCCAAACACGTCCCGAAATAGCGCCCAAAAGCGCCATGTGAGGGATAAGCGCTGCATCTGCTTTGCGGGCTATTTGGGGGCTGCTGGACGCGTTATCGGGCGCCATGGTAACGACCAAAACCTTCGCGCATGGCTGCTTTCTAATTTGTCTTCCCTGTAAAGTTGTGGGCGCTCGTAAAGACGCCCGAACCCTGGCATCCGCTCTTCGATTCAGCGCCGGTGCTAGAGCACCGATAACCGATCTGTCGACATCTTGGTGATGGCCTGGTTTGGGCACATATGCTGCCAGCTTTTGCCCCCTTCTCCTCCTTCTCCTTCTCCTCCTCCTCCTCCTCCTCCTGCACTTGAGAAAAAACTTCGTAAACATACACTTCCGCGGGTCCGCGCGCACCTCCGAAAGTTCATGTTGATGCAATTTTTTGCTCCTTTATCCTTGTATCGGTACACCCGAGTGCTTTTCTTTGTCTGTGGTAAGGGCTTCGTTGCAGGGTTCCTCGGGCATCTCTTTGGGGTCTTTGGGCCTAGCGGCGACCCAATTTTGCAGGATCTTCAGGCCATCTCGAGCTTCCGTGAATCGTGCGCCAGTTCGGGGCGGTCAGTGGCCGTCTCGGAGCCATGTAGAAGCTTAAGAGGGCGCTGGGGAGCAAAACAGGTGGGGATCGTGTTTTTACGATGGCAAGTTTTGGAGGCCTCCAAAGGCCCCAGAGGTGCGTCGAAGAGCTCGAAGAGCTCGTAGCGCCTCCACACCGCCCCCCCCTCGAACGGGATTGGAAGTTAGGAGGACAGCTGGTAATCTCTTCTTCGTTCTCACGCCCAGCCAGCAGGGGACGGCAAATTTCCCGCTTGGGCCCAAGACGCCTCCAGGAGCCCAGGGTGCGCAACGTCTCAGACGAGCTTTCCTTGTGCGAGTCATCCTCGGCCAGTGCGGCGGCGCCATCGAGGCGGCGGCTGCGCGGCAAGCAGCCAGCAGCTCACAGCGGCACCATCACTCTGGAAGGGGGGTGGGGTGGCAGGGGAGCAGGCAGATTGATTTGTGTTCCCAGTGCGAACCCTGAGGTCCGACGTTGCGAACAAGATGCAACATCGTAGAGGCACCGGATCGATCTGTGACGGTCCCGGGGCCCGAATCTGGGCGACAACGCCCAGCGCGGAAAAAGTGCAACGCCATGATCTCACGGCGAGGGAACGACAAGCAAGCGGAAGGGGGAGCAGGCAGGCGGGGGAGGCAGCATGCTGAGGACGTGAGCGCGCTGGCCGTGTGGCTGCTACGCTGGGGATCGGTGAAATGCTTTGCCCAGCCCGCCTTCCCATATCGCGGGGATGGCCACGGCAGACACCCGTGGGATGGATGCCAAATTCACGAAGGGTAGATGACGTACGTGCACACGTGCAGACTCGCTCGGGCACTGCCGCTCGAACAGACTCCTGGACTGACTTTGCCATAATCCCGACGTGGAGTGAGTTTGAGCATAGTTCTGTAGACTCTTGAGGTGCCTGCTAGCCCGTTCTCTCTTTCGTCTGTGTCCAACTCCGTGCATTTGGGCGCCCTGGCCCCGTCCCTCTTATTCCCTTCGTGTGGACACTCGTGCGGGCACCGTCACCGTCATCGTGGGATGGAGGCAGCGGGTTGCGCTGAGATCCGTTTTTGCGAAGCGTTGCAACATCTTCGAAAGTCACGAGCGGAGCCCCAGACACCACCTCTTCTGCCGCATCTTTCGAGCCGAGTCGATCTGTCAGGGTCCCAGTGCCCGAAGCAAGGCGAAACCGCCCAGCGTGAAGGAGCAGCGATGTGACGACGACGACGACGACGACGTGGCGGCGCGCGCGGCCCAGCGGCACTCTTCGAGGCCGCCCAGAGGCCCCGGATGGCCTCGGGGGGGAGGTCTGCGTGACGTGCCGCCGCCTGGTGGGCAAGCAGCCGCCGCCGCAGCTGCCCGCGGGAGCGGGCGGGCGGGCGCGGCGGGCTGCCGGCGGCCGCGCGGCGGGCGCGCCGATCCGCGGCCACTACGACCGCCTGGGCCTGCGGCGGAGCGCCAGCGCTGCGGAGGTGCGGCCTCGGGGTCCGGCGTGCCCAGGCCTCCTCTCTCTCTCTCTCTCTTTTTTTTTTGTTGTTTTTTTTTTTTTTTTTTTTTTTTTTTTTCTCTTTTTTTGTTTTCTTTCTTTTTTTGCGCCGCCGCGCGGCAGAGGCCCTCCGCACGCGCGTCGGGGCGAGACCGGGGCACGGCACCGCGGATCGAGCCGCACGCGGAGAGGGGGCGGCCGCGGAGCGGGGAGCGGGGCGCGGGGGGCACCTCCCCGCGCAGCGGAGCTGCGGCGAGCCCGGCGGCTGGGCGGCGGGGCGGAGGGGCACGCCCAGACCTCCGAGGCTGCGTTTTTTTGTGGGGGAACCAAAAAAACACGCAGCCACGCCGGGTCGACCTGGGCTCCGGGGGCCCGCTGTCGGGCCCGGGGGGGCACCAAACGGGAATCCGGGATGTCGTGGGATGTCCCGGTGGTCAGCATCGCCGGCTCATTCTGCAGCATGAAGCGGCGCGTCCATGAGAGGCGATCCGATTTCCGAATCCGGAGATCTTCCACCTGCAGTTTGAAGGCCAGAGCCGCCGATCCTGCTGATGGTGTTTGTGGGAGCGCTCGCTTTTTTCCAGCACGCGCCCTCCCCAAAAGGGCCCTTTGCTTCTCCTTGCAGTGTTCCGCCTTGCTTCTAGGGCCCCGGCCGCCCCGCGCCGACCCTCAAGGGTCCCGCTCCGGCCGATCTGCGCGCTTCGCTTCGCTTCGCCTCCCCAGGGCCGGGTTTCCATCCCGAGGCGTTTCCTGACGGCCCCAGGGGCCCAGCGAGGGCTCCCGAAGGCCCCGCGAGGATGGAGGGTTTCTCCGAAGGGCTTAGGCGACCCGTCCTCCTCCTCCTCCTCCTCCTCCTCCTCGTTCTCCTCCTCCTCCTCCTCCTCCTCCTCCTCCTCCTCCTCGTTCTCCTCCTCCTCCTTCTCCCTCCGCCTCCATCTCCTCCTCTATCTCCCCCCTCCCCTCCCCTCCTCCTCCTCCTCCTCCTCCTCCTCCTCCTCCTCCTCCTCCTCCTCCTCCTCCTCCTCCTCCTCCTCCTCCTCCTCCTCGGGTCGCCTACGGCCCTGGGGGAAACCGTGCACGCGAGGATGTCCGTCGTGTCTCTCTAGCACGACGCTAGCAAGTCTGGGTTGACGGCGCCGCGCAGGTGAGGGCGGCGTACCGCCAGCTGGCCCTGGCCACGCACCCCGACAAGGGTGGCGACTCCAGGCTCTTCCTGGAGATCACCGCGGCGTTCGAGGAGCTCTCCGACGAGGGGCGCCGGGCGGCGTACGACCGCAGCCTGGACCTCTTCAGCAGCGGGGACGGCACTCGAGGGTTGGAGCTGGCTGGGGGGCTGAGGAGGCCCAGTTTTGGTTCCCAGACATGCTCGCGTCGCAGAAACGCAGGACGGAGGTTTCTCGTCGTGTTGGGCCTCTGGGGGCCCTCGCCAGGCCCCAGGACCGTCAACAAGACGGCTCGGGATGAGACTCTGGCCTGGGGTCGGGCAAACGTAAGACTCGAGTGCGTCGGACCTCGGGTTTGACGACGCTTTTTGACCAGCGCGTCCTGGATTTTGACGGTTCGGTTTTTGTGGGATGTTTGCAGCGGGAGCTTGCGTCAAATCCCACCAGCCCTCTGGGCGTAGGTGGTCTAGAGCAGATCCTCTTCCACCCCTCCCTCTTCCCCCTTGGGGAGGGGTTTACCCCTCCCCCTACCCCCTCCCCTGGACCTGGACGGGGGGGGCCGCGGGTAGTTAGAGCGTCCAAGATGGCCCAAGACGGCTCCAAGAGCGCCTCAGAGAACCCAAGATGAGCTCCAAGATGGCTCAAGATAGCGCAAGATCGCTCACGATGGCTCCTAAGATGGTTCCAAGAAGCCCAAAGACGGCCCCAAGATAACTCCAAGTGGCCAAACAGCTCCCCAAGGAGGCCCCGAAGAGGCCAAAATCGTCCCAAAACCTAAGGAAAATCAATGATTTTTGCTTTCTCGCCTTTTCGCTTCCGATGGCCATCCGAGGCCTGGAGATGGCTCCAAGATGGCCCAAGAGGGCCCCAAGAGAGCCCCAAAAGAGCCCCAAGACGGCCCCAAGAGCGCCCAAGAGCACTCCAAGAGCGTTCCAAGAGGGGTCCAAGAGGCGATTTTAGGGGCTTCCGAGGGGGGGCGCTAATTAAACCCCCCCTCTTGTTTGATCGACTCCCTCCAAGATGGCCCCAAAAGCGCCCCGAAGGCTCCCCAGAGCGCCTCAAGAGGGTCCCAAGAGGCGCCCAAGATGCCCCAAGGCGCCCAAACATGATGGACCCACGAACCCGGAAAGGGATAAAGACATGTGCAGCATGGTCACGTTTTCACGATACCCAACTGGGCGACATCTCACGAAACATCCCACGAGACACCCCGCGAAACATCCCACGAGACACCTCACGAAACATTCCACGAGACACCTCACGAAACATTCCACGAGACACCCTTTGAAACATTCCACGAGACACCCCACGAACAGGCAACCACTCAACCAGACACGCCACGAAACATTCCACGGGGGTGCGACTGGGTGTGGTCGTGCTGGGGTGTGGTCGTGCTGGGGTGTGGTCGTGCTGGGGAGTGGTCGTGCTGGGGTGTGGTCGTGCTGGGGTGTGGTCGTGCTGGGGGGTGGTCGTGGGGGGGTGGTCGTGCTGGGGGGTGGTCGTGCTGGGGGGGTGGTCGTGCTGGGGCGTGGTCGTGCCACCCCGCGAAACATCCCACGAGACACCTCACGAAACATTCCACGAGACACCTCACGAAACATTCCACGAGACACCCTTTGAAACATTCCACGAGACACCCCACGAACAGGCAACCACTCAACCAGACACGCCACGAAACATTCCACGGGGGTGCGACTGGGTGTGGTCGTGCTGGGGTGTGGTCGTGCTGGGGTGTGGTCGTGCTGGGGAGTGGTCGTGCTGGGGCGTGGTCGTGCTGGGGCGTGGTCGTGCTGGGGCGTGGTCGTGCTGGGGTGTGGTCGTGCTGTGGTGAGGTCGTGCTGGGGTGTGGTCGTGCTGGGGTGTGGTCTTGCTGGGGTAGGGTCGTGCTGGGGTCGGGTCGTGCTGGGGTGTGGTCGTGCTGGGGTATGGTCGTGCTGGGGTGGGGTCGTGCTGGTCGTGCTGGTCGTGCTGGGGTCTGGTCGTGCTGGGGTGTGGTCGTGCTGGGGTATGGTCGTGCTAGGGTGGGGTCGTGCATTTCGCTCGAGACATCCTGCCAAAATTCCAGGAAATCGTACAAAAACAAACGAATTAGTCGAGACATCATCGAAATTCCTTCGCGCGGGGCGCTTTTCCGCGTCGCGGTCGGCTCTGCAAAACAAGCGTTTCGCTCGAGACATCCTCGGCAAACTCTGCGGAGCAAGCGTTTCGCTCGAGACATCCTCAACACACGAAAAAGTGGCCCGCACCCTGTGATTTATCGATCGGGATTTCAAAAACAAGCGTTTCGCTCGAGACATCCTCAAATTTTAATTCGCCGGCCTCCTTCGACCTCGTTATTTATCAGGGAACAAATTCGCCGGCCTCCCTCAAGTTGGCACCGGGGGACAGGTTTACCTACTAAAAGAGAACCCTGGGCCTGAGCCCTTTCCGGGAAAAGCCCTCCAAGAGGCCCTCAAAAGACCCCCAAGAAGCTCCTTCCCCTCCTCCTCCTCCTCCTCCGATTCTTCCTCCTTCTCCGTCCTCCTCCTCCTCCTCCTCCTCCTCCTCTTCCCCCTCCTCCTCCTCCTCGACGACGACGACGACGACGACGACGACTCCTCTTCCATCCTCCCCCTCTCGGGGTCTGTGACAGCTTCCCCCGCCCTTTGTTATTCTGCATGCTCCCCGACTTCCCTGATCACCTCAACTCCCCTGAGCATCGTTTCTGGATGGGCTGGTGGGGATACGCGAAGCGTCAACAATTTCAGACCAGATCTCGTCATTTTCGTGATGGTCCCGTCAGGCCAACCCGACTCCCCCGAACCCGAGTCTTACGTCTCCCCGAGTGGGGAAAGGGTCGGGACTGCCGCGGACAACGTGCGGAAAAGATCCAGACATCGCATGTCTGGGACCCGGCCACCAGAAGGGAGGGGAGGGGCACTGCTCCCCCCTCGTCGCTACGGCTGGACGCGGCTCGAACATGCGGCTCCTTTCGACCCCGGGAGGGGCCTAGGGACCGATTTTGAGGGAACTTGCACGCATTCCGCCCTTTTGACGACTGGTTTCCTATAGGTTTCTCCAGCTGAACATCTCGGAACTCCCGGCCGCCTCCTAACGCTGACCATGACCAAGATGTCGTGGGATTTTGTCGACTCCTGTCTTGTTCATGCAGGCCCGTCGCCGATTCGTCAGGATTTGATCCACGAACCGACGGCGGCTCAGATGCACGATTTCCGAGATCGACACCATCGGCATCCTCTCATCGGGAATATAAGAACCCCAAAACCCGGAGAGCACGCTGAAGACGCAGCCTATCTTAGGTCTCTTTCTTTGCATTAGGGATCGTCGATCCAGGTGGGTCTGTTATATATATATATATATATTATATATATATATATATATATATATAAAAAATTTATATATATATAATTATCTGCTGCACATGTCCACCATCCCGAATGTTTTGGACCTCTTGACTTTGTCCGCTCCCAAGGGTTAATTCCAATATTTTAAGATTGGGTTCTTGTTATCTTCCATATCCAAAGGATCGGGTTCTTGTTATTCTCTGACCGCGCCGGACCTCTACACTTCCCTTCCTCCCTCTCTGCACTAGACGAGAGTATGATGTGAGCATGATGGTGATAGTGAGTGAAGAATGAGTACGACGATGATGATGATGATGATGATGATGATGATGATGATGATGATGCTGATGATGCTGATGATGATGCTGATGATGCTGATGATGCTGATGATGATGATGCTGATGATGCTGATGATGCTGATGATGCTGATGATGATGATGATGATGATGATGATGATGATGATAATGATGATGATGATGATGATGATGACGATGAACAGATGATGAGGATGTCTCGAGTGGTTTGCTGGTTTTAGCACTCCTAAGGGGCGGCCGCCAGGGGTATTGCACGGCCTTCGTTCGCGCCAAAGTGGCGGGGATGTCTCGAGCGGTTTGCCTGTTTGCATGCTCAACATGCTTCGTATTCTGAGCAGATTTTGAGGACGTCTCGAGCGAGGCGCCTCCTAAGGGGGGGCCGCCAGGGGTATTGCACGGCCTCCGTTCGCGCCCGAATGGCGGGGATGTCTCGAGCGGTTTGCCTGTTTGCATGCTCAACATCCTCCGCTTTCGGAGCAGATTTGGAGGATGTCTCGAGCGAGGCGCTCATTTTCGCCCCCCCAGGGGCGCCAGATTTTGAGGATGTCTCGATCGGTTTGCCTGTTTCGGTGGCCAGACTCGTGGGCACATAAATTTTCCCCAGGATGCCACAGGAGGCTCCAGCAGGCTCCAGGAGGCTCCAGGAGGCCACATGAGGTCCCAGGAGGCATCAGGAGGCCACAGGAAGACTCAAGAGGCCACAGGATGTGCCAAGAGCCTCCAGGAGGCCCCAGGAAGTTCCAGGAGTCCTCAGGAAGCCACAGGAGGGGCCCCAGGAGGCCACAGGAAGCGCCAGGAGGCCCCGGAAGGCAACAGGAGGCCCCGTGAGGCCCCAGGAGCAGGAGGCCTCAGAAGGTAACAGGAGTGGCTCCAATCCCATGTACGTATGCTCCTATAGATTGGGCCTCACCTGGAGCAAGAATCTTTGATGTTATACGTATGTTTCTATAGATTGTCCTTCTCCGGTGTATACAATCCCAAACGTTTTACGTATGTTCCTATAGATTGGGCCTCGGCTAGGGCACGAGTCCTTGGTGTTTTACGTGTGTTCCTATAGATTGCCCTTCTCCTGTGGCTCCAATCCGCAATGTGTTATGTACGTCTGTTCCTATAGATTGGGCCTCTCCTGGGGCACGAATCCTCCCTAGGAGGTCCCAGGAGGCTCCAGGATGCCCCAGGAGGCCACGCGAGGCTCCAGGCGGCCTCAGGAGGCCACTCGAAGCCCCAAGAGGCCCCAGGAGGCCCCAAGAGGCTCCTGGAGGCCTTGGGAAGTCCCAGGAGGTTTCAGGAGGCCCCAGGAGGCCCCAGGCTCCTGCGCAGAGACGCGCTCGTGCTACTGAGACTCATTCACACGTCAATTCATTCGCAAGTAGATTCATGACCAGACCGTCACGACTTAAGCCCGCTTATATTCGAAAACTCCTTGCGCCTAGACACTCACGGTGTACAGGTCCATGCGAATAGATGCACATATGGGGAGCTCCACGCAGTGAATAATTATTTAGACTCCTCCTACTCCCTCGTCTCCTCTTCCTCTCCTCCATGTGATGATATGAGATGTTCTGAGATGTTATGCTATGTTCTGTTGTGATATGGCATAATTCCCCCTATCCTGAGGACGGGGTTCTTGTTTCCCATATCCAAAGGATGGGGTTCTTGTTATTCTCCGACCGCGCCGGACCACTCATACCATGATGATAACCATGATATGGTGAGAGTATAATGTGAGCATGATGGTGATTGTGAATTATGGATGGTATTATTATGATGATGCTGATGATGATGCTGATGATGATGGTGATGATGATGATGCTGATGATGCTGATGATGCTGATGATGATGACGATGATGACGATGATGACGATGATGACGATGATGACGATGATGATGATGATGATGATGATGATGATGATGATGATGATGATGATGATGATGATGATGATGATGATGATGATGATGATGATGATGATGATGATGATGATGATGATGATGATGATGATGATGATGATGATTATGATGATGAGCATATGATGAGCAGATGATGAGGATGTCTCGAACGGTTTGCTGGTTTTAGCACTCTTAAGGGGCGGCCGCCAGGGGTATTGCACGGCCTCCGTTCGCGCCTAAATTGTGAGGATGTCTCAGGCGGTTTGCTTGTTTTGGTCCCAGGAAGCCCCAGGAAGCTCCAGGAGGCCTCAGGAAGCCACAGGAGGCCCCAGGAGGCCACAGGACGCGCCAGGAGGCCCAGGCAACAGGAGGCCCCGAGAGGCCCCAGGAGCAGGAGGCCTCAGAAGGCAACAGGAGTGGCTCCAATCCATGTGTATTACGCATGCTCCTATATATTGGGCCTCACGTTGAGCAAGAATCCTTGATGTTATACGTATGTTTCTATATGTTGGCCTCTCCTGTGTGTACAATCCTAATTGTTTTTCGTCTGTTCCTATAGGTTGGGCCTCCCCTGGGGTCTGAGTCCTTGGTGTTTTACGTGTGCTCCTATAGACTGCCCTTCTCCTTTGGCTCCAATCCGCAATGTTTTATGTACGTCTGTTCCTATAGATCAGGCTTCTCCTGGGGCACGACTCCTCCCTAGGAGGTCCCAGGAGGCGTCAGGAGGCTTCAGGAGGCTTAAGGAGGCCACGCGAGGCTCCAGGAGGCCTCAGGAGGCCACTCGAAGCCCCAAGAGGCCCCAGGAGGCCCCACGAGGCTCCTGGAGGCCCTGGGAAGCCCCAGGAGGTTTCAGGAGGCCCCAGGAGGCCCCAGGCTCAGGAACGCAAGAGAGAGAGAGAGAGAGATATAGAGAGAGTCAGAGAGAACACACCTCCCACCCCCAACACCTCCCACCCTCAGGCCATCATTCTCTGCCTCACTCACATGTAGACCCATTCAAATTCAGACTCACTCAGATTCAGATGCGCTCTCTCTTAGATTCTTGATACTTAGGATCGGGATCACTCATATGCAGACTCATTCACACTCTTGGTACTTCCGCGCTCAGACTCACACACACGTTGTGAGAATGTCTCAGGCGAGGCGCTGGTATCAGTACTCCCCAGGGGGGACGCCGGGGGGTATTGCACTGCTCCGTTCGCGCCAACATGGCGGGGATGTCTCGAGCGGTTTGCCTGTTTTGGTGCCCGACATCCTCCGCTTTCCCGAGCGAGGCGCTCATTTTCGCTTCCAAGGGGGAGCCGCCAGGGGGTACTGCACTCCTCCGTTCGCACCAAAATCGCGGGGATGTCTCAAGCGGTTTGCCTGTTTTGGTGCCCGACCTCCTCCGCTTTCGGAGCAGATTTGGCGGATATCTCGAGCGAGACGCTTACTGTCGGATCCAAGGGGGAGCCGCCAGGGGGCATTGCACTTCTCCGTTCGCGCCAAAATGGTGGGGATGTCTCAAGCGGTTTGCCTGTTTTGGTGCCCGACCTCCTCTGCTTTCGGAGCAGATTTGGAGGATGTCTCGAGCGAGGCGTTCATTTTCGCCTCCAAGGGGGAGCCGCCAGGGAGTATTGCATTTGTCCTTTCGCGCCAAAATGGTGGGGATGTCTCGAGCGGTTTGCCTGTTTTGGTGCCCGACCTCCTCCGCTTTCGGAGCAGATTTGTAGGATGTCTCAGGCGAGACGCTGGTTTCAGTATTCCCCAGGGGGGCGCCATGAGGTATATCACAGGCCCGTTCGCGACCATATTTGGGGGATGCCTCAGGCGGTTTTCCTGTTCGGGTGCCCAACACCCTTCTCTTTCGGAGCAGTTTCCGAGGATGTCTCAGGCGAGGCGTTGGTTCCAGTATTTCCAAAGAGGGGCGCCAGGGTGTACATCACAGGCCCGTTCGCGCCCAGATCGGGGATGTTTCAGGCGGTTTGCCTCTTTGGGTGCCGAGCATCCTCCTCTTTCGGAGCAGTTTCCGAGGATGTCTCATGCGAGGCGCTGGTTGCAGCACTCCCAAGGGGGGACGCCAGGTGGTATTGCACGGGCCCGTTTGCGCCCAGATTGGGGGGATGTCTCAGGCGGTTTGCCTGTTTGGGTGCCCAACATCCTTCTCTTTCGGAGCAGTTTCCGAGGATGTGTCAGACCAGGCGCTGGTTTCAGCACTCCCAAGGGGGGGGCGCCGGGGGGTATTGCACGGGCCAGGTCTCGTCTTCACGGACTGATTTTCTTGACAGGTGTTCATAAGGAAAAGAAGAGGAAGAGGAGGAGAAGGAGGAGGACGGAAGGAGGAAGCAACTACTTAAAATCGTCGTAGTCGTCGGCGTCTCTCTCGGCCTCGTTTTCCACGTGGATTCTCTGACACTCGGATATTGAAAAAGAGCAATGCCTTCTACCGAAGTTTGCCATCACTATGGGATGCTCATATGGGGATCTCCGCGTCGAGTAAAATGTCATGATATATTCTGTTATGCTATGCTAGATTATGCTATGTTAGATGATGATGATGCTGCTGATGATGATGATGCGGCTGCTGATGATGATGATGAGGGGGAAGAGGAGGAGGAGGAGGAGGAAGAAGAGGGTGGTGGTGGTGATGATGGTGATGATGATGATTGTTATGATGCTGCTGCTGCTGTTGCTGCTGCTGCTGCTGATGATGATGATGATGATGATGATGCTGATGATGATGATGATGATGATGATGATGATGATGATGATGATGATGATGATGATGATGATGATGGTGATGATGCTGCTGCTGATGATGATGATGATGATGATGATGATGATGATGATGATGGTGGCGGAGCACATTCTGACGATGTCTCGAGCGAGCACCCCCAAGGGTGAGCCGCCAGGGGGTATTGCATTCCTCCGTTCGCACCAAAATGGCGGAGATGTCTCGAGCGGTTTGCCTGTTTTGTGACCCAACATCCTTCGCTGTCAGAGCAGATTAGGAGGACGTTTCGAGCCAGGCGCTCATTTTCGCCACCAAGTGGGGCCAGAATCTGAGGATCTCTCGATCGGTTTGCGTGTTTTGGTGGCCAGACTCGTGGGCACGTATCCTCCCCGGGATGCCACAGGAGGCTCCAGCAGGCTCCAGGAGGCCCCAGGAGGCAACAGGAGGTCACTGGAGGCATCAGGCGGCCACAGGAAGACTCACGGGGCCGAGGCTCCAGGAGGCCCCAGGAAGCTCCAGCATGCCCCAGGAGGCTCCAGGATGCTCCAGGAGGTCGCAGGAGGCCACAGGAGGCCCCAGGAGGCAACAGGAAGCGCCAGGAGGCACTAGACGGCCCCTGAAGGCACCAGGAGGCCCCAAGAGGCCCCAGGAGCAGGAGGCCTCAGAAGGCCACAGGAGTGGCTCCAGTCCCAGGTGTTTTACGTATGCTCCTATAGATTGTGCCTCCCCTGGAGCACGAATCCTCGGTGTTTTACGTATGCCTCTATAGATTGTCCTTCTCCTGTGTATCGAATCCTAAGCGTTTCGCATCTGTTCCTATATAACATGCCCATCTATTCCTATAGAATGGGCCTCTCCTGGGGCACGAATCATTGATGATTTACGTTTGTTTCTATACATTGCCCTTCTCCTGTGGCTCCAATCCGCAGTGTTTTATGTACGTCTGTTTCTTTCGATTGGGACTCTCCTGGGGCACGAATCCTCCCCACGATGTCCCAGGAGGCTCCAGGAGGCTCAAGGAGGCCACAGGAGGCTTCAGGCGGCCACAGGAAGCCCCAAGAGGCCCTAGGAGGCCCCAAGAGGCCCTAGGAGGCCCCGGGAAGCCCCAGGAGGTTTCAGGAGGCACCAGGAGGCCCCAAGGCTCATGCGCACAGACTCACTCGTACTACTGAGGCTCAGTCATGCTCCAACTCATTGACACTTACGACTCTCAGAGTCACTCCCAGTCTGTCAACATTCAAACCCGTTTGTTTTCGAAGCCTCTTGCGCCTAGGCACTCACAGGGGAAAAGGCCCATGCAAATAGATGCACATTTGGGGAGCTCGACGCAGTGAAGAATCATGAGGGGTCCGTCGATTGCTGATCATCGTCGACGCGTTCATTTGTGGTCATCCTGCATCTCTTAACTTGGGTCCGCTCCCAGAGGTCAATCAGGGGTCCTTTGACTGCCGATCACCGGCAGCGCGTTCCTTCCTGGCCCTCCTCTTCCAACCCAGGTCCGTCCCCAAAGGGGCCACCATCAGGGGTCCTCGATGGCTGATTCTCGTCGACGCGTTCATTCTTGGTCGTCGTCCATCGTGCGCTCCCTCTCCCTCCAGGCACGTTCGAGGGCCCCCCTGGCGGCCTCGGCGGGGCCGCGCCCGCCGCTGGCGCGGGCGTGGCGGGACGGCGCCAGGCGCAGTACGGCGCGGCCCGCATCATCCTGGAGGCCCTGCTGCGCCCTGCTGGCGCAGGCGGATGGGGTCGCTCCGAATCGGGTGCAACGATAGGGGGGGATACAGTCAGCCCTTCTCCTCCTCCTCCTCCTCCTCCTCCTTCGCCGTCCCCCTTCTCCTCCTCCGTCCCCCTCCTCCTCCTCCTCCTCCTCCTCAGCCTCCTCCTCCTCCTCCTCCTCCTCCTCCTCCTCATCCGTTTCATACCCCTCCTGGTCGACTTTCTGGGGTCCCAACCAGCAAACCCACGCGGCCTCCAAAGGCCAACCAGGAATCGAGGAACCATGACAAGGCATAAGCGTACGGTCGGCGTTGGGGAGCAGGCGTGCGAGGTGGCGCCGCAGGCCCGCTTATGACCCGCTCTCCCCCGCCTTGGGGAACGTGTGCACCGAAGAAGCCCTGGCAGGGGGACAGCGTGCACAGCAGGGGACCTTGCGATGGGGGTCGCCTCACAGGGTGGCATGCTTTTTGGAGATCCATGCTGTTTTTTGCTGTCTTGCCAACGCCAACCGTAACCTTGCGGATTTCCGCGCGGATTTCTCGGATCTGCACGGGAGACCCCTGGCGGCACCTCAAGCGTCGAGGGAGAAGGGTTCGGCGCAGAGCCAAGAGATCCAGCGGAGCTCCGAAAGCCTGTGCTGGCGCAGTTCTGTGTACCTCTCAGGAAGGCGGGCGTGCCCCTGCCCGAAAACTCGACCTCTTCTCCCTCCCTCGCCCCTCCCTGCTCCATCCTCCGACTCCATTCTCCCCAGTCCAACAGCTACCTGGGCTCCCGTGCACAGAGTGGCGAAGAGGATGCGGAGGATGTGGAGGATGCGGAGGAGGAGGTGGAGGAGGAGGAGGAGCAGGAGGAGGAGGAGGAGAAGGAGGAGGAGGAGGAGGAGGAGGAGGAGGAGCAGGAGGAGGAGCAGGAGGAGGAGGAGGAGGAGGAGGAGGAGGAGGAAAAGGAGGAGGATGATGAGGAGGATGAGGATGAGGAGGAGGAGGGAGAGGAGGAGGAGGAGGAGGAGGAGGAGGAGGAGGAGGAGGAGGAGGAGGAGGAGGAGGAGGAGGAGGAGGAGGAGGATGAGTAGGAGGAGGAGGAGGAGGAGCAGGAGGAGGAGAAGGAAGAGGAGGAGGAGGCGGAGGAGGAGCAGGAGGAAAAGGTTTGGGCTCCAACGCTTGGACGGCACCGACACCTTCAGATTGGTGTGCCCAGTCCGAGTGCAGCCCGAACCTCAGGCGTGCTTTCTGCCGCGCGCATCACTATATACATTCCATTTCTGCTCCCCCCCTTTGTGTTCAGCCACGACAGGGTGTCGTGACACGCCAGAGCCTGCTTGGCATCGACGACAGAGGCAGCAGAGGTCTAACGTCAGGACCCTCGTGAAGCTGGCCGGCGGAGAAGACCTTTTTCGCTCTCATCATTCTGCCCAGATGTCGTACAAAGCACAGGGACCGATTTCAGGACGTCATTGGCACTGTGTCTCATGTGCCCGACGGGTGAACGGTCATCATTGGCAGTGTTTTTGTGCGGTCAGCATTTTGGCAGTAACTACGGCACTCACACCTGGGCATGGAGACAGTAGCGCCCCAACAGTCAGCCCAGAACGCCCCGAGGCAAAGGAGGACAGAAGGGTAAAGGAGATGGATCCCCTCAACGATCTAAGGCGTTTCGTGTCTTCCTATCTAGGATTTTACCTGTGTCGCGTGCTGCCATCGGGAACCCGCCTCAGGAGCCGTGGTCCGACACTTACGAAGACGCCCCGACAGACCCCGCACAGGTCAAGGATTTCAAGGCTCGCGCCTACAGGAAGATGGACCAGATCGGGGCTCTCGCACTCAGCGCCCGCAACGCGGGCAAGTGCATAGACTCCCTGGTTGCTGAGATATCTGTTCTGAAACTCATGGTTCAGTCGTGTGACAAGACGTCGGTCCAGCTCGGCAAGATCAAGTCAATGCGAGATGTCACCAATGACAAGCTACGAGCTGTGCGCGACAAGATTGCCCACCTCCAGAACGAGGAGCAGTAGTTGATTCGGGAGCTCGATAGTATCAGCGTGCTGTACACGGAGTGCAAGGACCTGGGGCAGTACGAGCTCGAGGAGGAGGGCGCCGAGGACGACATGGAGTGGACGGCCACTGGCGTTGCGGGAGTGGGACCTCGCCTTGGCGGCGGGCAGCCAGCCTGGCAGCAGCCCCCGCAGGCGGCACCACCTCCCCAGGAGCAAGTGCCTGCCTTCGGCTCGCAGCCAGGCTACGCCCCCCCGCCGCTTTAGAACCACAGGAGCGGGTATCCCGCCTGCGACGAGTGGGTTCGGGAGAGTGAACGTCCACTACAGGTGCCCGCCTCCACCGCCGCCAGCCGTTGTTCACGCCCCTGCGGCGCCTGCAGCCCAGCAGGACACCGTCAGACAAGGTCTCGCAGATGCTAGACATGATGAAGATGTTGATTGGTAGATCCAGCCAGCAGGACCAGAGTGTCGTGACCATTGGCCAGGTGGTGCAGGCGATGAGGGTCGCCAATGACGGATTCCTCATCAACATCAGCATCGGGGTTTATGGGCCGACTGGTGGAGCGCCACGCCAGTCGAGCCCGAACCAGGCGCGGACATCACCGACCACAGGAGAGTTCCCGACACCGTGCGCGGCCACACCGCCAGCCCATGGCAGGTGCCCAGGCTCTCCTTCGCCGCCGCCTGCGCAACCAGACCCACCTACTCCTGCGCCAGCGACGCCAAAGGCACCGGCCACGTTACCTTGCTCGGGGCCGGCGCCCCTGCCCCAGACCAAGCAGGAAGTCAAGGAGGAGCTCGATCCCGCGCAGATCACCGCACTTCGAGTGCTCGAGCCGATCTCGCCTACCCGGATGATGGCCCCAGGGGGCGCATGCGAGGAAGATCCTCTAGTGACGGCTCGGACGTATTCAGCCACGAATTTGCTCGTCGTCCCAGATTCGCAAGCCAATGCGGACGGGGCGACTCAGCTTTCCAAAGGAGAAATCAATATCGAGGAGGCTTGCAGCTGCCCTGTAGATGGATACCCACACCCGTCAGAGCCCAGCGACGCTGTGGCAAGCCCCCCTCGCAAGCAGAAGAAAAGGGAGCGTCCGCGCATGGTTGAGCGTGTCGATGCAGCGCAGAGCCGCAGCCGACTCTTGCACTCTGCGAAGCAGTGTCTCTCCCATCCCTCATACTATTCAGCTTGCCTCCTCCACCTCTCATGTGCCTGTTTCCAGTGTGATGTTGACGAGTCATCCTGGCTTGTTTGCTTCCCTCGCGGTAATATTGTCGCGTCATGTGAAGGCAGTGCCAGCCGCGCCGTGCGTCCAACAGATGTGGACCTGGGTTCATTGTGCATGTGCCTGCCGACTCGAAGTTCACAGGCAGTATTGTTTTCCCCGCTTCCTCCTATCATGGCTCACCCTCCCCTCTTCTGACGGTCTATGCAGCAGCCCAGTGGCTGCAAGCGCGGCCACGCAGGTAGGGGTCGAGACGGGGGGGAGAGAGCCGCTCTGCACGTCTTGCGACAAGCCCCTTTAGATTTTAGCATTGCGCTTGGAAGCTTGCGCGGCCCTGGGTATAGGGACGAAGCTCGAGCATCCACGGAGCTGCCGCTTGACAGCCACCCTGGCGCAACAATACTCGAGGGAGGGAGGCTAGGTGAGCGAGAGGAGGGGAGGTTTGGTCTCTCGCGTAGCCTGTCCTCTGCCAACCCGCTGGAAGCGGCACCTGGGCATAGGTCTCCGTGCGCTCAACTCAACAGTGATTGCTTGAGCCCCTGGGCCTGGAAGAGGGGAAGGGCGGGGGGTTTGAGCTTGGGAGGAGGAGAAGAGGGAGGAGTTTTGGATCTCAACGGTCAGGGGCTTGCGTGTTGCAGTTTGAGCCAACCAACGAGCTTGGGGCCTGGCTGTGGGTAACCATTCTGGGCGCTCAGCTCTTGTGGCGGGCATTCTGTCAACTATGCGCGGCTGGTTCGCGGCGTCCGAACTCATGCTGCTCGCGATCCTCGATGCCTTGCTCGCGCATTGGGAGTCGCGCAGTTTTTTTCTTGTGGGGAAGCGCCGCCGCTTCGCGTCAACCCATCTTGCCCCGTGGTCGATGGCGTCATTTTATCCTCCCTGTGCCAAGTGAGTGATGAATTAGCGTTCGCCTGTCATGCGTTGCACCAGTTCTGCAACAGTCGTATCGTTAAGTCCTGTTTCTTTTATCTGTTCGTTTGTTGTGCCGATATCTGTTTAGTCGTCAATATCATTGGGATCCATGATGGGAGCCCTAGTTGCGCTAAGGTTGTTTGCCCTGGAACGTTGGCCCCGCACCTCCATGGGGCCCTAGAGACCCCACTAGTTTCAAGTTGCCTAACGTTCCCTGGGTGATGGATCGAATTCTCCGCAGCGCTTTCCCTGCTCCCGATCTGACCCTCGTGGACTTACTGGGGGCACTTGAGGAGGCCAAAATTGTGTTGGAGCTTTGCCCTTCTCGTCGGGGGATCTGGAATTCCATCTCCGTGTTTAGTGTTGGCTCTGTCAAAAACGGTGATGATGACATCGCAGCCTGGGCATTCGTACTTGTGCTTCACGATGACCAGGGCTTTTCATATGGCGGTGAGTAGTGTGGCAAAATTTGCCGCGCCTGCAGGGCGAGGCCTGACCGCGCCCTTGCCTGCGCCGACACAGAGTATGCCGCCCTTTGGTGGGCGATCATTGTGCTGTTTTTTTGCCTGACTCGCTCCCCGTTCATAGAGAAACCGACTTTATGAATGCAATCGAGGCCTTACTGGGAGAGACAGCGCCATCTAGAGATGACCCCCTGGCGCGTGTCACGTGTTCGTTGTGGTTATTCCTGTGCCTGCGCAGACAGGCCCGCGTTTCCCACGTCACGGCTCGCAATGGCCATTTTTGGAATGGCCTAGTGGACCACGTTGCTCGGGGTGCGTTGCTTAGCCGTGTTTCTCCCTCTGTCCTCTGCTACGGGCTGGTTGCCTGCGCCGATTTCCACCAAGGCCTCGAGTGGGAATGGGTTCGTCATTTGCATTTTGGCCCTGCGCGTGCGTTTCCTGATGGGAAGAGCTGCGCAACAACCGGGCTGTGCAGGGCCTTATCCACAAAAACGCGGACGTGCTGTCCCGGGCTGGCCTGGGCGTGAAGGGCTCGAAGGGCAGAAGGGCGGTGCCAAAGGGCACTAAGAAGCACAGCACATGAGCACAGTTTCACCCGCAGTTTCACCCGGAGCAGCTGTAGTTGTGCACGCTACAGGCTCCAGTTTTGGTACCGGGTCTACACCATGCACAACGAGTCTGTATGAAGTGGAAGTTCTTCGGGGCGGCCGGCTCGCCGTCTCTGGCTGGGAGTTCAAAGCTGTGACTTGGAACGTGGAAGAGCTTGCAGAAACAAATTGTAGAATTCCAGCGGCGCATGCAGCAGAAGGACATTGGCGTTCTCTGCGTCCAAGAAACGCACAAGGGTAAATCTGAGTATGAGATCACAAACGGGGGCTTCCTGCTTTTCGTGTCTGGCACGGCAGAAGGCGAACCGGAGGCGACGGCAGGAGTTGGATTTCCGATCTGTCCGCTGGCACGTTGCAGCGTCATTGGTTTCAGACGAGCCTCTTCGAGAATGGCGTTCCCCAAACTGCGGGTCTGTGTGGGGGGTGGGGATTGGTATCTGTAGCGCCTACTCCCGCGCGGCGGGAAACCTTTCGTCGACTGGCAGGCTTTCCTCTCCGTGTTAGCCGGCTTCCTCGGCAACCGCTCCGCTCGCGACCCAGTGCTGTTATTTAGGTGTTTCAATGCCAGAATGCACCAGCGCTTCCCCGGAGAAGAGGACGCGCTGGGGCCGTTCATTTTCGGGGGCCCGCGCGTGCTTCACAAACCAGAATCAAATAGGACATTCCTGCTCGAACTTTGCGCATCTCGCATGTTCGCTGTCGGCAATGCATGTTTTGACGTTCCCAGAGAGCGCCATATTTTATCCAATGCGATGTCGGAAGCTCGCCGGCGGACCCCCCGGGTACTCCAGAACCGCGGGCAGTTGGACTCGGCGATCGTGTCTATTGAGTGGCTTAGGTGCTAGAAGAGTGTGCGCAGCACCAAGCACGGGGCGATCGTCGCATCATTTTCTCGTCATTGCATCCCTGGGCGTGGACGTCCCTCGCGAAGACAGCGCCCCCCTCGAGCCTCGACGACAGTTTGGCGCGCTTCGGGACTAAATGGTGGCCGACGCATTCTCCGATGCCTCCTGTGCTCGCGTGGGCTCGAGCGGGTGCGATCACGGGCGCGCAAGGGTCCAGCAGCTCGCGTTGAGCATGACAGATGCCTCTCGTTGCGCTGCCCGAGACGCTCTTCCGACCCTCGCCGGGGGACCGCGAAGACCGTGGATATCTGACAGGACGCTCCAGCTCATAGACCAGAGATACTCGGCGAGGGCACGAGGGGCGACGCATGAGGAGCGGTGCTTGCACCGGACTGTGAGGGATTCCGTCGAGGCAGACCGTGCGGATTGGTGAGATAACCAGTTCGCCTTCGGAGACTGGGCGCCGATCCGCGCCTTGAGGAGAGGGGCGCAAGCCTGGCAGGGCCAGCTAGCCGACGTGGAAGCTCTTCTTGCTGACTCGGACCAACGTGCAGACACAATTGCCGAGTGCCTCAGCAGAGTCAAATGGGCAGTGCGGCCGACGAACACATCGCCGAACGGGGGCCCCCTTGGTGACGCGCTGGCTGTACCATGTGGCCCTATCACCGAAGGCGAAGTCGTTGGCGCGGCTGCTCGTATGGGCGAGTAGAGTGACTGGCAAGGACAATGCCCCGCCAGAGTTTGGGAGACAGTCTGCCGAGCTGGGGCGCCTGCCTGCAGGTGGGCTGTCGAGTGGTGCAACGCGTGCTGGACTGCCGCAGCAGTTCCAGAAGAGTGGCGCGAGGCGCTGGTTGCAACGACATTCAAGAAGGGAAACGTGCGCCATGCCATTTTTTAAGAAGGGAAACGTGCGAATTTTTGATATAATTTTGGCCGAAATGGACGGGCAGGTCGTCCTGTTGGCGCTCGATTGGGCGAGAGCCTTCGACAGCGTCTCCCTGGGGTCTCTCACATCAGCTCTAGTCAGGTTTGGCGCGCCGACGAAGTTCGTGCAGGTGGTGGGGCCGATCTACCGGGGGCGCAGTTTCTGCGTCCTGGATGCCAGCTCGACATCGGCGCCGAGGGTGCAGACATTCGGCATCAGGAAGGGGTGCCCGCTGTCGCCTTTATCTTCGCGATCGTGATGACTGTGTTGCTGCTGGGCGCGAAGGAGGAGGCCGGGCCGCTGCTCGACCTCTCTCAGGCGGTGCATGACTTGGTCTGCGCCGGCGACGCACTGCTCGCGTCTGGCGAGTCCGAGACAGCGACGGCATACATGCGCAGCACCGAAAAAGGTGGATCGCAGTGCGTGCTGCAGTGCAGTTGTCGCAAGCTGGAAGTTCTGTCCGTTGGATGTGATGCGCGCGTTCCAAGGCCAGACGGGTTTTGGGTGCCGCAGAAAGAGGACATTTATTATCTAGGCAGGTTGATTTGAAAAGATGGGAAGATTGGCCCTGAACTCTCCCGCCGACTCGGCGCCGCGAGGGCGGAATTCGTCGAGCTGAAGCGAGTGTGGGGCCATTCCACGCTGACGCAGTCAAGGAAGCTTGAGATCTTGCCTGCGTGCGGTCTCCCTGAACCAGGCAGAGTCGAACAGGCTCGACGCATTCCACGTAAGGTGTTTGAGGCGGGTACTTCGCATACCCCATTCATGCATTAGCCACGTGACGAATGTCAATGTTTTGCAGCAAGCAGGCGTTCTCCCGTTGAGAAATATTTTACTGAATCGTCAGGTGCTGCTCCTGGGCATATTAACCGAAAGCCAGCTGATTACCCTGTCAGATGCATTCTCCTATGCCCTTAATCGTGCAAGCTACCACCACAGAGTTTCAAGCGAAAGCGGGCTCGCCCCCGGAAAACTTGGACCGAATCAGTTTTTGCCCACGCTGTCCGGGCCGCCGGGGGCGAGGGGGCCCCGCCGCAGTTTTGGCATGATGGCGTAATTTCGGCCGCAGCCTGAGGCCACTGCATTTTTGCTCATGTGCTTTGCACTCATTTTTTGTTTTTTGTCTCTCTCTCATTTTTTTTTGTTTTTTTTTGTTGTTTTTTCTCCCTCTCTCTCTCTCTCTTCGCGGTTTTTCCAGCCTCGGGATGCTCCGCAGCAGCCGCGCCTCGCCCGGAGCGTTCCGGGGGTGCCATTGTCGCCCTGGGCGGCCGCTGGAGACCAGGATTGACGAGGCTCACATGGTCACGGGGTGTGTGTTGACCACAAATCGTCCACTGATTCCCGATCGGGGCCCGATAGCTCGCCCCGCCCAGGAACGTGCGGCTTTTGTATCGAGAGTGCGTGTCGCCGATCTATCAGCGATGTATCGCCGATTCTAGGCCGATGTTTCTCCTGCGGAGCCAGTCCCCCACTACCGTGTCCCCTCGCCGGAAGGAGCCCAGCTCGGGATCGCCCCGTCATTGGTCACGATTTCTTTCAGCTCATCGATCTGGCTCGTGAGTGTCACTATGGCGAGCGGGGAGGCCAGGATTACGGAACTGAAGGGCTTCGGTGCTTTAGCGCACCAGAATCTTTCAGTTCAGCTGTATCTTGTCTTCCCCAGTCCGCACGGTGCTTGTCAGGGGCGGGCCAGATCGCTGAACTTAAACACGGCCGAGGTCCGTGCTGCAGTCTTCAACCATTGACTCCGCGTCGACCTCCACATTCCAGCTTTTGCGCGTAATGCCGCGAACGGCTGCCAAAGGCCGTCGCGGCCGCCGATGGGTTCTGGAAAACTGACGACTACAGCGGAAAAACCACTGCGAATGGGCAGCAACAAGAGGCCCACAGTCGAATGCGGTAGTCGTCCCAGCTTGCCTTTTTTTGCACAAGCATCATGCATGCTACCCCGATGGGCGCACCACGTCTGGCAGTGTGCCAAGCCTGTGCCAAGCCAGAGCTGTACTTGAGGCATCATGGGCAAGCTCTAGGATGCACCTCCCCAGACAACAAAAATGCGACAAGGGCGTCTACAGTCCAAGGCATATCAGTCCTAAACATGCGACGTCTTGATTTTTTCAACACGGGGTCCCCGGAAGCCTCGACCCTTTCCCCAGGGCTAGTCATCCATCCCGAGTCGTTTTTGGACAGAGGCCGAAACTTGCTAAAAACCTGCTTCCCGTTGTGATTTTTTCACGAGGCGAGCATCTTCGGACCAGGACAGACGCTGCACTCGATCATGCCTCCCGGGGCCCTCTGCGCCCAGGGTCGGCCGTGGCCGAGGCGAAGGCCTGGGCCGAGCAGCTGCAGGCACTGCCGGGCGCGGTCCTGGAGGCGCTCTGCGACCTCGTGCTGTGCGGCGGCGCCGCCGGCCCCCGGGGAAGAACTTTCCGCTGAAGGCATCCGTGTGCCCAGACATGCTCGCGTCGTGGAAGGGTCGCGACGGCCAGGACGATCGAAGTGGGCACGGCAAAATTTGCGGCGCAAGGACCAAGGGCCGTGCCTGTTCCTTTAGGGCAGGACTCGCTGTTGGATCCGCCGCGGACGTTGACCATCCGAGACAGAAAGCAGCCTGCCCTATGGCGGCCGCGGTCGGTTTTGGAAACCATGTGCCATTGGCCACCGTACCCTTTTTTCCGTACCCTTTCCGGGCGCCCAACGACGGGAGGTATTTTGCCGTGTACGGCCTCAAGGGGCCCTCGCTGGGCCCCAGGACCGTCAAAAGATGGCTCGCGATGGAATGTCGGCCCCTGGGAAAGGGTCGAGTCTTTTGGGGTCACCGTGTGGGAAAACGTCAGGACGCCGCCTGTCTCGGCATGCGCAACCACCGGATGGGCCATCCTGTACCTACGGTGTGCAGACACTCCTGGCCTCGGCCTGCAGGGGGTATGCGCCACGCAAGTGCCCAGATGGCCCTGGCTAGGCCCCCGTGGTGGTGTGCCGATGCCTTCCGCGTAGATGCGCCACCATGATGGAGGCCGCCCGAGTGCGACCTGAGTCAATGGGTTCGGAGGCCCGCTCCGCGTCGCCGATGCAGCGGCGATGCTGCGTCGATATTGCCACGCGATCTTCCGACCCCATCTACTCCGGCCGCCTCTGGGCGGCATGGGCGAGAAAAACAGTGGTTCCGAGGAAAAGAAGTCCTCACGGTTTGCGTTGTTTCGGCTTTTCATGGCCCCGAGACGCGGAACACTGCCAAAAACGATTCGGGTCGAACAAGCTGGTTCCTTGAGAAGCATTGGGTCCATGAACCCTTTCCCTTAGGACCTTTTCCCGCACTCCATCGCACTCGTGCAGATAGCTGCCGAGGTGAGTAGGTATTGGTCGTCCGACAGTGCCACCAGTCTCCAGCAGGAGCACTGCTGCTGCAACCAGTCAAAGGAGTTAGGGCTGCGTTGGACACTTTTTTTTTCTGCAGTTGATCTCAATGCGAATGCTAACCAAGCGCCGAGTATGAGAGGGTGCTAGTTGTATGATAAAGCGCGACACGTCGGCGAGCGCATCTACGACGTCGACAACAACTTATCGATATCCACTACTATTGTTCACATCTTGGGGGAAGGACACGAGGATGATAAGGGAGGGTCTGATTGGGCGATCGATGGGGTTTCCACGAGGATCCAGGAGGAAAATAATTCTCGAGAATCCCACCAGCCCTCTGGGCGTCGGTGGTTTAGGGAGTTTCCTCCTTTAATCTCTCCGAGTTCTCGGAAGGCAAAGACTGTGTCGTCTGGGAGCCCTGCCCGCGTGCCGGGCCCGCGTGCCGTGCGCGTGCCGTGCCGTGCCCGCGTGCCGTAAGCGTGCGCGTGCCGTGTGTGAAAGCCAGAATGTGAAGCATCTGCTGTGCCGTGCCCCCGTGCCGTGCCGTGCAAGTGCCGTGCGTGAGTTCCAGAACGCGAAGCACTTGCCGTGCCGTGCCGTGCAGCGCGTCTGCCTCGGGCCGCACTGGCCTTAGCCCGTTTGGCGCACACGCCGTCCCACTGGCCATGGGCCCAGCAGACGGGCACTCGCTGCTGCCTGGCAGCTCGTGCTGCCCCAGCTTGGGGGGCGCCGCTGCTGCGTCGCCCTCCCTGTTTGCCTCCCGGCTGCTCGCCGGGAGCACTCGCCCAGCTCCCGCTTCCGCTGGGCGCCGCCCTGCCCTGGCTGCGATGCGTGCGCCGGCCCCGGGCTCGGCTCGCTGCCCCTTTGCCCTCTCCCCCCCCGCTTGTGGCCTCCACGCGCTTCCCTGCGGCAGCCGGGCGCCTGGGCTCTCTCTGGCCGCCGGGCTCTGCCGGGCCTCTCGCCCCGCCTCTCGCCGCCTCTCCCTCTCGGCGCCGCGGTCGCGATTCGCCTCCGCCACGGTGCACCGGCGCAGGGCCGCTCGCCCAGCCCACCGCAGCTGCCCCGCGCCACCACCCCCGGCCCTTCCCGCTGGCAGTGAGCGCGCTGGTTGCTTTCCTGTGCACAAGCGTGGTCCCGAAAGCGCGACGTGGTCCCAAGCGCGCCCGACACTCTCCGGTAAGACTCTTGGTCCCGAAAGCGCGTGGGAGGCTTCTCCTGGCAACCTGCTGTGATTCCGAGGTTGCCTTGGTAGCTGAGTCTCGACAAGACATGGCCCCGAGATCGCGACAGCGGCCTTCCGTTGCAGTAAAGGGCCCCCCTAAAGCGCGCTGGCTGCCGCCCTTCCCGTGCAATCTGTCCCGAAAGCGGGCTGGCAGCCCTCGCAACAACATCGTCCTGTCGAAAGCGCGCCATCCCTTCTGGAAAGCACGGCGCCGAAGCTGCGCTGCCCGTTCAATCGTGCAGGAAACGCGCGCCAGCCGCTCACCCTCGCACAGTGGTGGTCCCGAGCGTTCACGCAGCCAGCCCTCACAGAGCGTGCCATTCCGGGACAGTGCCAGCCGCCATCCTCCGCAGAAGGAAGTCGAGTTCCACGTGCAGGCGGGTCTTTTGGAAGTCGCTCCGTTTGGATCTAGTTACTGTGGGTGACTGGGCGGCCGCTCCGCCTGTCTTTTCCCCTTCCTGCCGCGGGCTAATTCGCGCTTTCCGCTGTCTGGACCGCTCGAGCGCGCGTGCGGATTGCCTTTGCCGCGCTGCGACGTGAACAAAAATCGACGTAAACACGGGTGACAGGGGACGGGCCAGGGGGTCGGCCTTCCAGCTCGTCGCACGTGGACGCGTGTTTGTCGCCCTGCTGTCTTGCTTGCCGCGCATGCTCTTTTCAGTTGCATTACCGTCTGTCGGAAGGTCGACGGCTCATCTGATACAGTCACCGCGCCTAGTGAGGACGCGCGCCTTCATCTAGGGTGCCCTTGTGTCCTTGCCTCTGCGGCCCCGTCCTTTGCCGTTTCCACTGGTCGCTCGCCGCCCAAGAACTCCCAGTTTCGGCCTTCAAGGGTCCTGCGTCCTTACCATCCGTCCTTCATACACTTTTCTACTGTAGCCTTCTGCTGTTCCTGTCGTTTTGTAAATTTTCCATCGGCGCCATCCAAGCATACCAACACTGCGTGTGCGTCGTGCACTCGGTGGCGGCCCCTGTCTGGCCGAACCGCTCGGGAAGCCATACACTACAGGATGGCAGCGTCGGCTATGCGTGAGAGTGACCTCCCGCTGGAGTGACCCCCGGTGCGGGCACACCGTGGGGCCCCCGGATGGCCGACTCGAGTGCGATGCGGCAGCGGCTGCCTGCGCGCTCCAGCTCGGCCGCCCCGCGGACCACGGGAATCGCGCACCTTGCGGGTCACTCTTGCCCAGTGTCACTCTTACGCGTGTGCAGCGGGGGACAATGTCAGGAAACGCCCTGCTTGCCTCCAGGCTGCCCTGGGTTTCCGTGGGTTTCGAGGGTTTTGCCATGGCGAGCGTGCCGTTCCCATACCAAAAACCGATGGACGTCCTGGGGTCTCAGGGTTGGGTTTCTTGTGGAAGGTTTCTCGTGGACTGGCCTCCACTGTAGCCGACTGTCTGAGCTATTCGGTGAGGACGCACGCCTCCGAGGAGGACACACCGCACTGGCATGTCCTCGTGCGTCCCGCGGCAGGCTCCCCGGGCGACGGCGGGAGCGGCGCGTGCCAGCCGCCTCACGGCCGCGGCTCTGCGTCCCAGGGCGGTGCCACGCGGAGGGCCAGGGCGCCGGCGGTGAGTGCAGGTTGCAGCGGCGGGCGGCCGCGCTGCATCCACTGGCAGAAGGTCGAGTACCGAAGAGTAAAAACTGGCACGAAGCTGAACTTTCGACGGTCCGCGCGGACCATCGGCTCACGCTGTTTGTTCTTCCTCTAGAATTAGGGGATCGGCTACAGAATCGATTTGCCCGAAGTTTTTCTTCGTCGAATCTAAGAGAAGTGGGCACAGTGTTCCTAGGTCTTCGAGCGTCCTGCGCATTTTTCCAGCAGGTTCGACGAGAAAATCAAATTTGGGGATCATCAATCCTGCAGTCGATCCCCTACTCGAGAAGGGCAGCGGCTACAGCGTGCACGTGTCCTGGGCGGGGCTGAGCGTCAGCACGCCGGGGACTCCGTCGCTGGCGCAGGCCCTGGACTGGCAGATCGCGCTGGCGGCTGCCCAGGGTGCGGCGCAGGCTTGGCCTCTGAGGGGCGAGCCCGCCTTCCAGGAGCAGAATATTCAGCGGCAGCGGGGGGGGGGGATGGGAGGGGGACGCATCGAGACCCTCAATCTCCCATTCGTCGCCGAGAGGAGCCCGATGGTTCCACTCAGCCCAGGAGCGACTGGATTCACTATCGGGGCCTATTGCGGATCGATCGGCGATGTATCGCCGATTCCAGGTTGATGTTCCCCCGGCGATGCAGTCCGCCCGAACGTCCCCCTCAGAATAGTAGTATGTGTCGCGAAGGGCTTCTGTGCCAGGAGGGGCTGTGGCCACGGGGCCCGTTGCTCTAGACGCTCTTGGCCGAGGATCTCGAGGGGGTGCGCTGCGATCATTCCAGTTGGCTTTCGGGGCATGCGGCATGCGGGAATTCTTGACGCTTCACGTTTCCCCTCCAGCGCATCCATGAACTATCGCCAGGCCAGTTGCATTCATCAGGGGAGTTCAACAGCATGCATCCAGATGTTAATCATGAGCGGCATTCGCAGATCTCTCGCCTCTTGGAGCCCTCTTGGAACCCTCTTGCGGCACTTCTCGGCGGCTCTGGGACTCTCTTTGGGGCCCTCCTGGGGGCTCTCCTGAGGCCCCTTTGGGCCCCCGCTCGTTGGCCCTCTTGGGGCCATCGATGAAAGAGGGGGCGCTCTCGGGGCCTTCTGAAGCACTCTCGGGCGCTCTTTGGGCCGTGTTGAAGCCCTCCTGGCTTTCTCTTGCGGCTGCCTTGGGGCATCGTTGAGCCATCTTCAGGCATCCAAAGCTCATCGGACTCGATCTTGGGCCATCGTGGGCTCTTTTGAGAAACATCTTGAAACATCTTGGGGCAACTTGAATACTCTGATGACCGGCGACCGCCCCCTCTGGCAGGGTGTACGGGGGATGGTGTAGGGGGGTGTACGGGGAGGGTGTCAGGGGGGTTGGAGGAATGATCTCCTAAACCACCCACCCCCAGACGGCTGGAGCGACGCTCGCATCTGGACCTTTGGAGAGTCCCCAAGGCGCCATTAGGGCCCTCTCGGGGCCCTCCTGAGGGCCTTGGTGGCTCTCTAGGGGCCACCTCGGAGCCTACTTACAAGATATAGGAGGGTTCTTGATTACGCTTCCACGTCGGAGGCCGAAAACTCGCCTCTCGGGGCGCTTTAAGGGCACTCTTGGGGCACTCTTGGGCACTCTTTGGTCCGGCTCGGAGTTTTGTGGGCCCCTCTTGGGGTTTTCTTGGGCTATCTTGGAGCCTTCTTGAGGCGACAGAATTTTCGAAAGCCAATAGGCGAGCACGCACAAAGTATTTGATGTGCTTTGGCCTCTCGAGGCGTGCTTGGGAGGCTCCGAGGCCACTTGGAGCCGTCCTTGGACTGCCTTGAGGCATCTCGGAGGAATGGTGGACACTATCTATAGCCATCTTGATCTATGTTATGTAATTTTCGAGGATATCTATGGTAATACTACTTGAGCCATCTCAGCACCCTTGACTGCGGCTGGAGGTCGGAACATCACGTGTATTCTGACTCTCCAGACGGCCCCGTTGCTACTCCAGAGTGATCAAGGTCACGATCGGGCGGGTCTACAGAGTTCCCATCCCAGCGCACCCGATTTGCAAGGAATGCAGCTCGACTGCCAGGCCGCATGTATGGGGGACTTTTTTCTCAGATCCCAGACAGTCCCAGACATCCCGTATCTCGGTCTTTCCTCGCGACATCTGGGACCTTTCGGCGTCCTCCCCGGGGTCTTGTTTTCCATCCCGAGGCGTTCGGCTACACGTGAGGGTGACCCGTCGCCGGAATGACCTCAGGTGGGGGCTCGTCGGGGTTCCCCCGATCGCTGGGCGCGATGCGTTCGCGGCTGCTTGCGCGCTTGGGTTTGGCCTCTTTGCGCCCCCCTCAGTACGCGCACCAAGGGTCACTCTTGCCAAGGGTCACTCTTGCGTGCAGCCGATGAGTTAGGAGGAGGAGGAGGAGGAGGAGGAGGAGGAGGAGGAGGAGGAGGAGGAGGAGGAGGTTTTTTTGTGGCCCCTGGCCTCCAGATTTCCCCCGAACGGGGAACAGTCGGCCGTCTCGGCTTCTGCTCGAGCCGCTGGCCGGATGTCTGGAGGCAGCGCGTTCGCAATCGGGAAGGGAAAGATGCACAGTCACAAACGAGCTCGTCGATTCCCTCGGAAGAAACAACAATACCCTGGAAGTGGAGGGGAAAACGAGAATCCAGAGCGTATGCAAAAGCACGGGGAATCACGGAATCAGTGTCTGTTTATCTGTGTCTCCCCAGGCTCTTTTACTGAAGGCCGCTGGCCGCATGAGCAAGGCCGACCCGTAGGGAGCTCCGCTTCTGGGCAGCGAAGGAGGCGCAACGTTTGAGCGACCCACGCAGCGTCAGAGATTAGCGTCCATGTCGGCACGGCAGGAACTGACCGTCGAAGAAGAAACGCTGCATGAGCAGCATCTTAAAAAAAAAACCCAGGAACTCAGGGGCGGCGCTCTCGCTCGAGAATTCCTCGCAATTCACCCAAGTCCTTGAAGGCCCAACCGCGAAGACAGCGGCTTCTGATCAATACTTCCTCGCGCTTGCTCTGGGACCCTCCGGCCAGAGAGCTTACCTAGCTCAGGAACGGCACTCTCGCCAGATACGTCCTCGCAATTCATTCAGGTTGGTGAAGGCCCAACTGCGACGGCAACGGCTGCCGCTCGGTACTTCCTCGTGAAGTACTCGCGTGTGCCCTGGACAGGTGTATTATCTCACAGACTTGGCTCTTGCCCGAGAGGTCCTCGTCATTCTTTCAATTTTGTGCGCGCCCAGCTGCGACGACAACGGCTCCCGCTCGATATTGCCTCACATTTTACTCTGAGACGCACTGGAGGCCTTCGAACTCAGGAACGGCGCTGTCTGCCTAGACTTCCCCGCAATTCACTCAAGTCGGTGAGTTGTCCGCGGGCGCGTCAGCCCGCGTGATGGCCGTGTCGGTGCGGTGCGCACACATCGTGCGCTGCCGAGTGCTTCTCCCAGGAGCTGGTGTGAAAAGAGGCCCCCCCCCCCCGAGAAGGAGGCCGTTTCATAGACCCGGCGGGCGTGTGCGTGGGGAGAGGGAGGAGCCGCTGCAGGCCGGAGCAGCCTCTCGGAACACACGCCGTCGCCGTCGCCGCGGCCGTCGTCTGTCCTCGCCTTCGAGGATCGAGGACCCAGCGCGGCTGCTGTGGCCAGGCGCGGCTGCGCGTCGCTCGCGCCCGCGCGCCGCGGGGCCTTCCGCCGGACCCGCTGACCGAGTCGGAGCTCGGCGCGGCTCTGGAGGCCCGCTGCCTGCGGGTGGCGGCGGCGTCACAGCCGCGGGCGGCGACGCAGCCGTCGACGGCGAGGACGACGGCGAAGCCGACGACGGCGACGAGGACGGCGAGGACGGGCTCGGCGCGGCCCTGAAGACTCGCTTCCTGCGGGCAGGAGGGGGAAGCGGTGCTCCTCCTCTTCCTCCTCCTCCTCCTCCTCTTCCTCATCCCTCCCCCTCCTTTTTCTCCTCCATCATCCTCCGCCTCCTCCTTCGCCTCCTCCTCCTCCTTCTCCTCTTTCTTTGCCTCCGCCTCCGCCTCCGCCTCCGCGTCCTCCTCTTCCTCTTCCTCTTCCTCTTCCTCTTCCTCTTCCTCTTCCTCTTTCTCTTCCTCCTGCCTCCCACTCGTCTTCCTTCTCCCTTCCCTCCTTCCTCATACGCTTCATCCACCTACTGTTCCTCCTCCTCCTCCTCCTCCTCCTCCTCCTCCCTGCTGCTGCTGCTGCTGCTGCTCCTCCTCCTCCTCCTTTCTCCTCCTCCTCCTCCTCCTCCTCCTCCTCCTCCTCCTCCTCCTCCTCCTCCTCCTCCTCCTCCCCCTCTGTCTCGATCGTCCGTGCTGCTGAGGCTTTGCAGATTCCGGCGGCCGGCCCGAGGCACGCACTGCACCACCGCGTGCTCGCTCAGCTGCGTGGATTGGGGGCCTCTCGAGTTCGCCGACGCCGCGGGAGGGAAGCATGGTATCAGTGACACGCCGCCGTCGGGAGCCCTGTCTGCGCGATGCTCCTTGGCTTTTGTCCGGGGACCTGGTGCTTCTTCGAGGGCGAGATGCTGATGGGCTCCCCGCGGCTGCGTGTCACTGATGTGCTGTCTTCGTTCCCCGAGCCTCGCTCCTCGGCGCGCTCCACCGAGTTCGGTGCTCTGGTTACACGTACTGTGCCAGGTGCGTGGTCCAGCCAGCTTCGAGGGGATGAAGCGTGGCTCACGCGGGTTTGCCCCACAGGTCCAAGGCGTGGCAGGGACCGTGACGTGGGTGGCACCAGCTTGTATGGACGCTCGCCTGCATAAAGGCGCGCTCATCACCGCTCGGGATCGTCACCTGGGCTCGGCTCAGCTGTCCCATGCACGACCACGAACCCTGGCGAGGCGGTGCACACATTTAGCGAGGGTGTCCAGTCGATGTCCCCCCCATGAGCCGCCAGCCAGCCGGCCGACCCGCTGGGCGAAGCCGACGGCGACGGCGATGGCGGCGGCCGACGGTCAGGGGTGCGAGCGGGGGGGATAGGCTCGAGGTTTCCGGGTCCGATGTTCGAGGTTTTCGGGCGTTTTCGTGGGTCAGACTCGGCTCTCCAGCCTCGGGATGCCTTCCAGCGGCTGCGCCTCGCCGAGAGCGTTCCAGGGGTGCCCAGATCGCACTGAACGGCCGCCGGGGAGCCGAGCTATGACCCGCAAGCCAGGGGGCAACGTTGGGAGGGGATGGGCTCAGGATGGAGTGCATCGGCCTCCGGTCGCCCATGGACCGCCGAGGGGGCCTGAGAAGCTCACCCGCCCAGGAAGGTGCGGGCTCGCTGTCGGGGGCCCCTCCTTCTGGGCCTCCCAGACGGGGTCCGAGTAGATGGGGTCGGAGGATCGCGCCGCACCGCAGATGCATCGGCGATGCGCCAGCGAGGCGGCTCGATGTGGGGCCCACTTTTCTCCACGCCGATCGCCGATGCACCGCCGACGCCGCCGGTGCACCGCCGGCGCACTGGCGATGTGGCGGGACCCTCCGACCCCACCTGCTCGGACCCCGTCCGGGAGGCCTCTGCTGTCGGGGGCCCCTGCTGCCGATTGCAGCGGCGGTGCGCCGCCGATTCCGGGCCGGTGCTTCCCCCCGGTGGTGGTGCTCGGGGCATCGCTCGGGCCTCCAGCGGCCGGCCGCCGCCGAGAGCCAGCCAGAGGCACTCAAAAGCTTTCCCCCCGAACCTCCGGATCCAGTCCCCGTCCCTGGGCCAGTCCCCAGATGCCCCAGGAGACGTGCTCTCTTCCCAGCGCGCGGCCCCGGAGAGCCGCCTACTAGTGCAGTGCCGTTTTTAAGACATGCTCCGCGTGCGGATCATGTATTAAACATGCAGGGATCTAGGATTCAAAACAACGGTGAGTTCATGCATATATTCCTCCATGCATTAATCCTATGTTCTTTGAAAATCCGATATGTTTAAACATCTTCTGTGTTAAAAACTGCCCTGTACGGTGTGTGCATCGCCCCCCCAGGGGGCGACGCGCGCTCCGAGAAGTCTTGCAGCATAGGTGTTTCGTGGCGGGCGCTCTCTGGCCGTACCGCTCGGGAAACGATACGCTACGAGATGGTCATGCTGCACCTTCGGTTCGGCCGAGAGCCTCCGAGGAGGACACATAGTACTAGCATGTCCTCGTGCTTCCCATCATCATTCCCCCTCGCCGGCGTTGGCCGGCGGGGGCGTCGACGCCAACGACCTGGAGTCGGGTGTTGCTAGAAGTCCCCAGGATTTCCAAGGAGGCCCCCACGGCCTCCAGGGCATCCCTCACGAGGCCCAGAGGGCCCCAGGGGCTCAAACATTAAACGAAAAGCTCCAGGCATCTTGGGCCAGTGGCACCTTTATTAGCAACACCCGACTGGAGAGGCAGCTCGCCTCAGGAGCGAAAGAAGGCCGTACACGTACATGATTCCACGTTGGTTTCGAGAGGACGCATTGCGAGATTTTTCGTATCACGCGGCTGGTCTCTCGGCTTTTGGGGTCGTGTTCATCTAGTGGGTGGGCTCCCCATCGCCGTCGGCCGAGTTGTTGCCCGCTGTCTCCAGGAGCCCCGGTCTGCGCGCGCGCGCGCCTGCCGCGAAGGCCGAGCCGGGGCTGCGGCCGACCTTCTCCGTGGCTCTCGGGAGGCCCGGCGCAGGCAGTAAGGCCGGGGCCGTGGGGGGTGGTCAGAAGAGGAAGGAGATATCGGGACGACCGAAATGGGTACGGAAAGAAGGGGCATTCCACACTTCACAAGAAAGGGAGGGCGTCACAACTGTCGCAGACGTTCAGTTTTGGACCCCCCCAGACCAACCAAGAACAGGCGACCTTCTGCCCAGACTCCCCTGGACCCTCCAAGGCAGCTCAAATCAGACCCTCCAAATCAGACTCCCCATTCTATCATGAAATTCGGGGTACAAAGTCCAACAGCAGTCGCTGTTCAGTCCGAACAGGGTTCACTGTCGGCGTCTCCACGGTCGTTCTCCATTCGAGACAGGAGGCCGCCTGTTCAACAGCGGCCGCTGCTGGTTCTGGACAGCATTTGTTGTTGGGCATCGTACCCATGTTTTCCGTATCCGCTTTGGGCGTCCACAGGAGATACTTCTCTAGTAGGAGATCGACAACAGAATTGATTTACTCCGACACTGAGACTTTCGTACAATCTACGAAACAATCTACGGAGCGTACAACGTATCGAAGACACCTCCGGCGAATTTCCGCCGCCCCCTGCCTTTTCGGAGACGCCTATGTGGCCAAACGTTTGGGCAAAGTGTGGCCGTGCTATTGGACCGTGCGTTCCCCCAGCCGCTGTGGGAGCCCTTCGGGGAACACGTGGGGGAGGAAGTGGAGGATGAGGAGAGGAAGGAACACGGAGTGAGGAGAAGGATGAGGAGGCCTCTTGGGAGCTTTCTGTGTCATTCTTGGGGCCTCCTGGTAGCTTTCTGGGGGCCTCTTGGGGACCTCCTTGGGCCTCTTGGGCCTTGGGGGGCCCCTTTTTGGCTGCCCTACGGCGTTCCTGGCCAGTCTGACGCCGTCGGAAGCCGTCTTGGGAATCATTTTGGACCGTTATAGGGCCCTCTTGGGGCGCTTCAGGGTCGTCTTGGAGTCCATCTTTGGCGTCTGAGAGGCCTCTTGGACCGTCTTGGGGCCCTTTGGGAGCAGTCTTGGGAGCATTTTGGGCCGTCCTGGGGCCATCTTGGAGGCCTCTTAGGCGATCTTGGGGCAATCTTGGGGCAATGTTGGGGGCCTCTTGGGCCGTCTTGGGCTGTCGGTCGCCCATTTTGAAGCAAATGCCTACTTTCTTGAACAACCTATGGCACATCAATGATTTTGGCATCTTCGGGCCTTCCTGGAGGTCCTTTTGGAGGCCTCTTGGGCCGTCTTGGAGGTCTCTTGGGGGCCACTTGGGCGGTCTTAGGCCATCTTGAGGCCATATTGGGCCGTCTTGGGTGCATCTTGGGCCGTCTTGGAACATTATTGGACCATTTCGGGCCCTCATGGAGGCGTCCTGGAGGCCACCTTGGCCGTCATGGAGGCGTCTTGGAGGCATCTTGAAGGCCATCCTGTGCCGCTCGGGCCGTCTTGGAGGCGATGCGACCCACGAGAGATGAACTCTCGGCGGTTTTGCGGGTGGCCCGCGCGCTGGGCCGAAGCCCCCCGAGACATTCTTTTGGAGAACATCCCAAACCAAAGACCTCCTGAACCTCAGCATGCCAGGCACCCCTGTGATAAATCAACAGCGGGCTGCAGATGATGGAAAGCGCGCGTAGAGTCGCGATCCGTTAGCTGGGAGAAATGGTGTGAGTGGGTTGGCTTGACCCGCCCCAGATCAAATCGCCCAACGTTCGGCCATTTTCGGTCCAAGATGGCCCAAGTCGGTCCCAAGAACGCACCAGAGGCTCTCAAGACGGCCTAAGAGGCCACCAGGGCGGCCTAACACCTCTAGGACGGCCTCAGGGAGGCCCAAGAGGACCCCAAGACGACCCAAGAGCGTTCAAAGCGAGCCCAATACGGCCTCAAGACGACCAGAGAGGCCCTCAAGACGCTCCAAGAGGCTCCCCACAGGACACCCAAACGGTAAACATCGTCCCATTCCCAGAGGAAAAACGTACATGTTTAGCACGTTTGCTTCTTTGGTTTGAACAGCGACCAAGACGGCCTAAAAGGTTCCCACGACCGCCCAACGACGGCCCGAGGAGCCCCCACGACCGTCCCAAGACGGCCCCACTGGGCTCCAAGAGGGCCTGAGAGAGTCCCAAGAAACCCAAGTGAGGCTCCTGAGGTCCCAAAAGGTTCCCCCAAGAGAGCCCCAATGGGGCCACAGGAGGTCCCCAAGAGGGCCCCGAGAGGGCCCCAGGACGGCCCAAGAGGGCCCCAAGTTTGTACAAAAGAGCCCTTAGAGGACCCCCAGGAAGGTCCGGAAAGGCAATATTTGTTGATTTTCGCAAGGTTTTTTGCTCGATTTTTGTATGTCGTTTTGCAAGGCTTTTTGCTCAACGCCAGCAGGGCTCCAAAACACTCAGCCAGCGACCTCGCTCCGTCACAAGTTACACGAGCTTGCCGTCCCCGTGTCAAGTAGGTAACGGAAAGAGCGAGGTACGAGGGATGACGTTGTGTTTTGGGCGAAGCCTCTTAAGGGGGGGTTCCAGGGGGCGGCGTACGGGGAGTGGATGGGTTTAATTGCCGTTTTCGGGTTTTCCCCTGTTTTTTGCATGTTTTTCGGGTTCCCCCCCAAGACGGCCCAAAAGCGCTCCAAGAGAGTCCAAGACCGCCCAAGACGGCCCAAGAGGCCCCGAAGAGGCCTCCAAGAGGCGCCCAAGGGGCGTCCTAAGAGGGCCCCAAGAGGCCAAAATCATTGATTTTCCAGTGGAAAACGTACATTTTTGGCATCTACTGCTTTTCGGCTTTCACGGCGTTGACGACGGCCCAAGAGGCCCCCAAGACCGCCCCACGACGGCCCAAGAGGCTCCCAAGAGGCCCCCAAAACGGCCCAAGAGGGCCCCAAGACGGTCCAAGAGGCGCCCGAGACGGCCGAAGTGGGCCCCAAGACGGCCCCAAGAGGGGGACCACGAACCGAAAAGTCTAGCCTATCGCCCCAAGATGCTCCCAGGAGGCCCGAAGAGCCCCCCAAGAAGCCCCAAGAGGCCCCCAAGAGGCGTCCCAAGAGGCCACCAGGAGGCCAAAATCATTAATTTCTAAGTGTAGAATGTACATTTTTAGCATGCACGGCTTTTCGGCATTCACGGCGTTGAAGACGGTCTAGGAGGCCCCCAAGACCGCCCCAAGACGGCCCAAGACGCTCCCAAAAGGCCCCCCAAACGGCCCAAGAGGGCCCCAAGACGGCCCAAGAGGCGCCCAATACGGCCCAAGAGGGCCCCAAGATGGCCCCAAGAAGGGGACCACGAACCGAAAAGTCTAGCCTTTCGCCCCAAGAAGCTTCCAAGAGGCCCCCAGAGCCCCCCGAGAAGCCCCAAGAGGCCCCCAAGAGGTCCCCAAGAGGCCTCCAAAAGGGCTCCAAAAGGGTTCCAAAAGGGCCCCAATAGAACTCTCAAGAAGGCCCAGAGACGCCAAATAGAGAGCGATCGGTAACGCAAAAAGCTCTTCACACCAAGGCTCCCAAGAGCGAACGGTGACGTAAACAAGCTGATAAGACCAAGGCTCCCAGCAGAGAGCGGTGACGTAACAAGTTCCTGACACCAAGGCCCAGCCAAGGCTCAGGAACGGGCGGCAACGCAACAATCTCTGAACACCAAGGCTCCAGCGAGCGAGGGGTGACGTAACAAGCTCTCAACGCCAAGGCTCCCGGTACGAACGGTGGTGTGAGTAATTCCGGTTTCTGTTTCTGAAGCGCTCTTTGGCTCATCCTGCCACCGTACCTGGAGCGTGGGTCAGAGTCCTCGGTGATGCTTCTTGGGGTCTCTTCGGAGCGCTCTCGAGTAGTTTTTGGGCCTCTTGGGATCCTCTTGAGAGCCTCTTCTTGGGCTCTTGGGGGCCTCTTGGGGCTTCCTGAGGGCATCTGGGGGGCCTCTTGGGGCCTGTTGGCGGCCTCTTGGGGCCCCCAGGGGGCCTCTCGGAGCCGAGGGCTCGAGGTGTCCGTTCGATTCCTGTCGGGCCCCCTTCTGGCCCTCCTGGGTCGTTTTCTTGCCCCGTCTTGGGGTGATCTTGGGGGCCCCTTGGGCCGCCTTTCACCACCCACCAAACCACCCCAACCCAACCCGAAGGCCTCAATTTGCCCTCCATTTCCAGTGGGGGGGGATCGGGGAACGTCGAAAAAACACATGGTCCCCGTACCCCCCCCAACCCGAAATTCGGGTCAAATTCGTGCCTTCGGGTTGGGTTGGGGTGGTCTGGTAGGTAGTCAGCCTTGGATCGTCGGGAAGCTACAGCGCCGAGAGCTCTAAAATCTTTCAAAAACCGAGCACTTTTCGCGGCCCTCGGGGGGGCCTCTTGGAGGCCTCTCGGGAGGCCTCTTGGGCCCTCTCTCGGCCGACCGGGGAGGCCCTCTTGGGCGTGTTGGACCGACTGTGCGCGGCGGTTTGGGGCCCTCTTGGACCGCCTTTTGGGGGCCTCTTTGGGGCCCTCGTCTTGGGCCCCTTCCGGGCCCGAAAACTCATGTCGGGGGTGGACAGAACCCCCAATAGTGACACGTCGATTAGTGAATTGTCCCTTTTTGGTTCTCGAGAGAGCGCCGTGGCCGTTATTTTCCAGGCCTGCGCCCGCCAGGTTTGGGCCTCAGGTCGTTTTCACTAAACCGCGTTTTGCTAAAGGGGGGTCTGTCCATCGCATTTCGCATTTCGCATTTCGCATCTCGACAGCGTCTGGGGTGCGCGCGCCGGCGCCCGGCCGCTGGCGCCAGCGCCCGGCCCCCAGTCGCTGCGACTCAGAACTGCCCGGCGAATGCAGATCTGGGCCCGGCAGCCGACGACGGATAGGCGGTGGTGTTACACACCCCTTCCCTCCCCTGCTGGCACAACATGAATGAGGCGAGCGCGGCGGGAGGACGCCGCCCGAAAACCGCCGCTCTCCCCGGAGAACCGGGCAGCGCCGCACGCCAGGGTTCCGGGCCGCGTCTAGGTTACACTAGCTGCGGTCAAGGGCTCGTCAGTGCATCCCCCTCTCCACACCCCGAGGCACAGCACCGCTCCCCCAAGCACAGCCTGGTAAAGC